GATCGAGGCCCTCGGGCCCTGCCCCACGAAGCCACCTAACCCTGCCCGTCGGCGAGCCAGGGACTGGCTCTCGGAAGGCAGGCACCCAGCAACTGGGATCAGGCTCGTCCAGTCTAATCCGTAATTTGCTTGGTTTTCCTTGAGGGCTGGTGTTTTATCACCCTCGCCCAGTATTATATAGTCGTCGTTGCGTCCTCGGATGCTTCGCCGTTCTATGCTGCGTCCTGCGTCCTGCTCCTCCTCCTCCTCCTCCTCCTCCTCCTCCTCCTCCTCCTCCTTCTCCTCCTCCTCCTCTTCCTCCTCCTCCTCTTCCTCCACTTCCGCACTTACACGATAGAAATACTACACTCCTCTCTCCCCTGTTGGCGTGCGGGAAATGATCGGCCCCTCTCCTCGTACCGTTTTCTTACACACAGAATTGCGGGGAAGCGGGTTTTCCCCCTCGTTGTTTCAAAATGCTGCGCTCGCTGAAGCGATGGCCTCATCTTCGGGCTACCGTTCGTTCCGGATCGTGCTCCCGCTGCAGCCCTGGCCTCATTTCCGCGCTTCCGCTCGTTCCGCATCGTGTTCCCGCTGCAGCGCTGGCGTCACTATTTCGAGCGCCATGCCACGGCATGGTTTCGGTCCTTCCAAATCGGCCCCAAAAGCTACACAATGCCCACCCGAAACAACCATCGGAAGTGATCCCACATTCGGTGCCGATTTGTTGATTCTGGGGGTCGCATAAGCCCCCCCACCCATTTGGGGCGTCGCCACGCCATACTATGTCAGGCTACGCGTTGATCTTCAACACCATTCTATGCCATGTGCTGCTATACCCTGCTACGACATCCGGCTGTGCGAATAGAGAGGAGGTTTACGCCATGGTAAAGGATGGGAGGGAGGGGCAGGACGTCTGATATGATGCAAGCGCACCTAGTTTGTCATCCTCCCCCTCCCCCTCCTCCTCCTCATCCTCCTCCTCCTCCTCCTCCTCCTGTTCCTCCTCCTCCTCCTCCTGTTCCTCCTCCTCCTCCTCCTCATCCTCATCATCATCATCATCACCATCATCATCAGCATTATCATCATACCATCATCATCAGCATTATCATCATCATCATCATCATCATCATCATCATCATCATCATCATCATCATCAGCATCATCATCTTCCTCCTCCTCCTCATCCTGTTCCTGAGTCTCCTCCCTCTCTGGGTTCGCACCCCAAACACCTTCTTCCAGTGGGCACGCGTCCACTATAAAAAAGTCCCTGCGACGTACCCAGCCCATTTACATCGAGGGGCACGGGGAATTTCCCCAAACTTGCATGGACAATGACAGCGCAAGCGCCGTCATATTGAGAGCATGCCACGTGGGATACGCGCAAGCGGCACGACTCACAGGACAACGATAGAAGGACGAGGAGCGATGACCCAGGCTCGACAAGGACATGGGGGTGGGACCGAAGAGCCAGCGCGGCAACTGCACAGAGAAGGTAACAGTGGAGAAGTAGACGGCGACAACGACGACCGTGGCGGGAGGAGACAGGACAGCGTTGCTCCTGTCGGCAAAACGCTGAAGATGCACCGTTGCCTGCGCCATGTCGCCGCGGCGCTCGACATGACTACACCTGTATATAGCCACTGCAAGGAGCGAGCGAGGCCCGCCAGCTTCTCTGCCTCTTTCCGTTCAGTGCGGGAGCTATACGCTCGCAGGCGCGCCGCCAAGTCTGCGGGCGGCCCGCGGGCCAGAAAATCCAGGCTGGGGTCGCGCATCATCGGGAGGTTGTCCACGGTCGTCGCCCTGGACAGCATCGCGTAGAGATGCGGCCAGAGGTCGCCCATCTTCTTCTCATCCTTGCACCCGGCGTCGACAATGACACCGCGCTGCCTGGCGCGGCCCTGGCAGGCCGTGGACGTCAGGACCTCGGCATGGGACCCCCAGCCGCCGTCGAAAGTGGCGACGGTGGCGCAGATCGCAGCCCCGCAAAGATAGCGAGGTTGAGCCTGGATCTGCGTAGCACGTCACTCTGTTGGACCCCCCCGCAGCCCTCGAACGTGGCGACGCTGCGACGCTTTCGCAAATCGCAGCCCCACAAGGATGGCGAGATCGAAACAGAATCTGCGCAGCGCGCTACTCCGCTGGATCCCCCAACAGCCCTCGCAAGAGGCGACAGCTTCGCAGATCGCAGTCCCAAAAAGATGGCGAGGTCTAACCTGACTATGCGTAGCACGTCACCCCGCTGGACCCCCCAGCAGCCCTGGGAATTGGCGACAGCTTCGCAGATCGCAACCCCACAGATGGCGAGGTTGAATCTGAATCTGCGTAGCACGTCACTCCGCTGGACCCCCAGCAGCCCTCGAACATGGCGACAGCTGCGCAGATCGTAGCCCTACAGGGATGGCGAGGTCTGATTCGAATCTGCGTCGCACGTCACCCCGCGGTACCCACCAGCAGCTCTCGAAAGTGGCGACAGCTTCGCAGATCGCAGCCCCACAGGGATGGTTAGGTCAAATCTGGATCTGCGAGGCACGTTACCCCGCTGGACCCCCCAGCAGCTCTCGAAAGTGGCGGCAGTTTCGAGGAGCGCAGCCCCACAGGGATGTCTGATCAGAATCGGCGTAGCACATCACCCCGCTGAACCCACCAGCAGCCCTCGTAAGTGGCGACGGATTCACAGATCGCAGCACCACAAGGGATGGCGAGGTCTAGTCTGAATCTGCGTAGCACGTCAATCTGCTGGACCCCCCAGCAGCCCTCGAAAGTGGCGACAGTGCCGCAGATCGCAGCCCCACACGGATGGCGAGGTCGAATCTGAATCTGCGTAGCACGTCACTCCGCTGGACCGCCAGCAGCCCTCGGAAGTGGCGACAGTGCCGCAGATCGCAGCCCCACACGGATGGCGAGGACGAACATGAATCTGCGTAGCACGTCACTCCGCTGGACCCCCCAGCAGCCCTCGGAAGTGGCGATAGCGTCGCAGATCGCAGCCCCACACGGATGGCGAGGTCGAATGTGAATTTGCGTAGCACGTCACTCCGCTGGACCCCCCAGCAGCCCTCGGAAGTGGCGACAGTTTCGCAGATCGCAGCCCCCCACTGAGCATCCAGGCAGGACGACGAGCTAGGAAGCAGAGTAGCAAGCAAATCGGAGGGAGGAGGCAGGCGGGAGGTGTGAGACCGCAGTGCTCCATTCAAAACGAGTACTCAACGCAGGAGGGTTGGGCAAAAACATTCTTCGCACGGGATCGGGGAGAGAGGAAAGGAGGAGGACTGCAACGGATGCTGATAGCACTGCCTGCCCTCTCAGCTCTCGCGCCTCCCCTTCATGTCAGCCAGTTATGTGCTGATCATCCTTCCAGCGCGAGGGGAGCGGACATCGCAGTTTTGAAAAGCACTCTGGAATAGTCCTGGTGCGCAAAATATTGTGAAACGTCCTGGCTCACATCAAAGGTGTAGATCGCGAAGCTGCTGAACAGACAATGCGAACCAGATGAGGCCCTGTAGCAGTGCAGAGACAACAAGACCGTGCAACGAAGGGAACACTGCATACGAACGGCCTCCCCTGCAAGGGGCCCACGAGCAAGTCAATCAATGACCCAGGGCTGGTCACCAATCCGGGAACCTTGTCGATGCAAGGAGCACCGGTCAACGCGGCAGTGATGCAGCGGAGGCTGAGCCCAATACGAACTGACCTCAGCAAACACCCGTCGTCGATTCAGTTCCGACGCCGAAATGAGAAACACAGAACAGAGCATAAACTGACACGTTTGAGGTCCGCGCAGATTTGTTGGGTCGGCGATGCACCCCCTCCCCTGGCGCGCGAAGCGCGCCATGGACGGCGCCAGAGGCGGCACCAGGAGAGGTCCAGCATCGAACGTAGAAACTCGCGCGGACCTCCGAACACAAATCATGTACACAAATCAGGTTAATACAATGTGCAGTCTATGTGTATCTATATATATATATATATATATATGTATATGGAGACAGAGAGAGAGATGTGTGTCTGTGTGTGTGCGTGTGGATTGATGTCTGCGCCGTTGCTCGTTCTTCGAAGCGACCGACACTTCGGCCCGCGCCCAAATCCACACCCATTGCACTCGCGGTCTGGATACCGAGACGCGATCCCACGGAGATGCGGCCCCGCAAAGGTCTACGCTGCTCGCTCCTCGAGGCCGCTCCCCGTCATCCGCCACCGTGCCAGCGGCACCGAGTAGAGCCTCGCCAGGCCCCCGTAGAATCCCCAACAGCGTTGAACGTTTGGGCATTGGCATGTTGCTTGCGCAATCGAGACAGGAGAGGGAGGAAGGGGAGGAGGAGGGGGAGGAAGGGGATGAGGAGGGGGAGGAGGAGGAGGAGGAGGAGGAGGAGGAGGAGGAGGAGGAGGAGGAGGAGGAGGAGGAGGAGGAGGAGGAGGTGGAGGAGGGGAGGAGGGGGGGAAGGAGGAGGAGGAGGAGGAGGAGAAGGAGGAGGAGGAGGAGGACGAGCAGGCGATCCGCAGGCCGTTCCCAAGCAGGGTCTGCGGCACGTCGCCCTCAGTGGGTGGGGGCTCCATGGGCTGGCCTTGGCGCCGCGGGACCTTCGTACGGCGGGTTCGTGTCGTGACGACCCCGGCGTTGGTTTTCGACATCGCGTGGATCGTTCAACCTTGAACGATCGGCGGCTTGTCGTTTGCCAGATCGTTCCATAGTGGGCCGATGCTGGGCCACCGGCGGCGTTCAACCTTGAACGCCCGCGGCGGGGTCGCGGCGAGTCGACACGACGCGAACCTGCCGTACCAGAGACATTGGGCTATTCCTCGAAGCATGGCAGCGCAGCAAGGGAACGGGCTGCGGCGCTCGAGAGGGGGGTGGCTCGGCGCGGGGCGAGACGGGTGCAGATGAGCTCGGCAAATGCTCCAAGCTTGCGAGAGCATGGCCACACAAAAGCACACCCGAAGTACAGCAAACAAACACAATATTTAAACACCTTCTCCCAACATACAGCCCAGGACGGCCTTTGACACAAATGCGGTGCCTCGGCACCTTCGGCACGCTTGGCTAGCACGGAAAAACACTGATACCATGCACGGCGCTGGCAAGTGTGCTCACTGCTTCACTGCAGAAATACAAGGTGCGACTGCCGCGCGCCCGTAGGGGCGGGCGCCCGCGCGCACAGGTGCACCGAGGCCCTGATGATGGCGGATCCCTGTGCAAGCCCGTGCGCGGAGGGCGTGATGAATAATAAAAACAACTGTGTAAATTATGAGTCATTACTATGCCGTCTACGACCAGCTAACCCACTCCTCGGCACACTGCAACGAAGGATACGCCCGGTGAGACGATAGTGCGACAGGAACAGTGCCGTGCCGTAGAGTCACTGGGCCTGATGCAACAGAAACAGAATGGGCTTACTCAGCGGTGCCATTCCGTGATTCGCCAGCCACACGGGCCAGAGGCAGATTGAAATCTCTGGCACGAGTTTCAGACTGGTTCTAGTTCGCGCGCGCGGCGACCCCTGGGGACCACCAGACGGATGCCCGAACTGCGGGGCGCGACCCTCGGGGCACCAGGAGCGCACCAGGAGGGCCACCAGGAGGCGCCAAATGGGTGGCAGGCCCCACGGCCTCAGGCCAAGAGCGCGCCTGTGCAAAAAATACTTGTCCAGGCCGACGAGTTCGGTGTCGGTGTATGCTTGTTGGCCTCTTGCAAAAGAGCCCCGAAGACGCAAAAACCATTGATTTCGATAGGGGTCTTTGAAAGATTTTGGCGAGCTTCCGACCATCCAGGACGGCCCAAGAGGCTTCCAAGATCGCCATGGTCAGCCCAAGAGGCCCCCAGGACGGCCCCAAGACGGCCCCAGAGGGCCCGAAGACGACCCAAGAGGCATCCCCAGAGGGCTCCAGAGGCTCCTGTGAGGACCCCAAGCGAGGGAAACCGAGCAGACTTATCGAGCCTTCCCCGAAAGTTGGCCCCCGAGACCACCACGGGGCCCCCAAGAAACCCTCAAGAGGCCCCTGGAAGCCCAAGGAGATGCAAACAGGGGCCCCCAAGAGGCAGGCGAGCTCCCTGGGCCCCCCATGCTCCCCTGGAGTTTCTCGAGGTACCTGGTGCGCCGTGGAGCGCACTTCGAGGAAACTTCACTGTGCGCACCTGCCGTCTGCATCCCACAAGCGCTCTGAGCGCAGGCGATTTGGGGAGGTTCCTCTTCCACGCCCTTTCTTCCCCTTCGGGGAGGGGGTTCCCCTCTCCCCTGCCCCCCCCCCTGGACCTGGAGGGGGGGGGGGGTCGCGAGCGGCCACGGCGCCCAAAACAGCCAGCCTCGGCGAGGAAGCCCAAATCACTGGTTTCACGAAGGTTTTGGCCCCATGTTGGCCTCCTGGGGGGGCAGCGCGAACTGCGACCATCCCCTTCTTTGATCGATGTCCTCCACGATGGCCCCAAAAAGCGCCCAGGAGGCCCCAAGAGGCCCCAAGATAGCCCCAAGATGGCCCCAAAAGGCCCCCAAGAGGCCCCCAGGAGGCCCCCAAAAGGACACCAAACGGCCCCAAGAGGCCCAGGACGGCCAAGGGGAGCCCCAAGACGACCCAAAAGGCAGCCAAGACGGCCCAGGATGGCCCCGATGTTTGCCCAAAACGGGCCAACACGGTCCGCAAAGCGCCCAAGAGTGCCCAAAAGCAACCCAGAACGGCCCAGGAGGACCCCGAGGACCCCAAAGAAGGCCCAACAGGGTTTCCAGATAGGCCTCAGGACAGGCCAAGGGCCCCCCCGAGGCACCCAAGACGCCCAAGAGCCCCCCAGGACCGCCAAGAGAACCCCAAGACGTCCCAAGAGGCCACCAAGAAGCGCCCAAGAGATATCCTAAGAGGCTCCGAGAGGCATCCAAAAGACCTCTGGCCCTGTTGCTTGCCCTCCTCCTCCTGCTCCTCCTTCCTCATCTTACACGCCACTCATCATTATCATCATCTTCCTCCTCATCATCATGATGATCCTCCTCATCATCATCATCAGCAGCAGCACCATCAGTATCAGCATCATCATCACCACCACCACCATCACCATCACCACCATCGTCATCATCACCGGCATCACCATCATCAACAACATCATCATCATCCGATCCATCTTCCTTCTCCCCACCCCCTCATCTTTATCCTCTCTCCCTCGCCCACGTATCCTCATCCTCCCTCCTTCGCACGGCTCGGCAGCCCCACTCTTGACCCCCGCACTTCCCTGATCACCTCACCTCGCCTGGACATCGTCTCTGGACGAGCTGGCGGGGATACTGTTGATCGCAACCGCTGGCGAAAACTACCAGGCGATGCACAGCAGCAACGCGGAAGAGGCGAGGGCGAACGAAGAAAACGGAAGGATGACGGCGAAAGAGCAGTCAACAGAGGAAGAAGAGGAATGAGCGAAGAGGAAGAAAGGAGAGGCGGCGACGAAAGACAAGAACAGAGAACGAGAAGAGCTAAGCCGCGGCTCAGACGTGGAACAAATAGAAGATCGTCCGCACCTTGCAGAACTCCCTGCACTTGTCGCAAGTAGGTAGGCAGCAGGGCCCGAAACCAATCCAGTCAGATGCGGCGCCGCGGGGCAAGGAGACCACGGAGCCGAGGGGTGACCAACGGCGGCGGGAGCAAATGGTAGCGCAGGGGCGCCCTTGCTGAAGGTCACGCAGTACCCGAGGCCGCCTCCAGGGCCACCGCAAGAGCGAAAGGGCGAGGGGAGCCTCCCATCCCTCGTGACCGGGGGGGCGGCATGGGCGAGGGGCGACCGTCAGAGAGAGGCAGCAGACAGCTGCCGGGAGCTCGATTACCTTCGGGGGGGAAGCTGTTGGAGCCGAAAAAGGTGGGTGCACGCGCCAGTGCCGCCTAAGAACAGCCCGGGGCCCAGGAGAGCAGCCAACAGCCGCGGTAGCAGAGATGTTTTGCCTGAGACAGCCCGGCGCCCAGCGGGGGTGAAGCTAGCAGCCGTGGATCAAAAAAGAGAGAAGGTACGACCAGAGGCAACCTGAGACACGACCGAAATGCAGCTAACAGTCGCAGAGCGACGGGGGATTGCATCGCTTAAGGCATGCAGCTCTCTGGTACGGTGCAGCTAACAATCGCGGGATGATGGAGCACGATTACTTCCGGAGGATTGCTTCGCCTGAGACATGGGGTCCTCTGGTTAGGCGCAGCTAACAGCCGCAGGAAGGTGAGAAAGTATTTCGCCCGAGACGTGCGGCCAGGGGGGAACTGGCCGCGCCTGCCAAGATGGGGAGGGTGCAGGTAACAGCCGCAGGCTGCGGGGAGGTGAGCCCGCCGGTGACAATGATTACGCCAAGCTGGGGTGCAGCTAGTAGCCGCAGGGCGAGGGGAAAAGATAACATGAGACATCCCGAAACGAGGCCGGAGCGCAGCAGACAGCGGCATTGTTCGTCTGAGACATCCTAGTTCTCTGGCAGGGCGCAGCGAACAGCCGCGGGAAAGCGGGAAATAGTTATTTTCCGCCTGAGACACGTCACGCCTGAGATGGACCGACGACCAGCGGGGGTGAAGTTAGCAGCAGCAGCAGCAGCAGCAGCAGAGTGACGGGAGACAGTCCCACTTGGGGCAACCTGAGCCGGAGCGCAGCTAACAGCCGCAGAACGTTGAATGATTGCAATGCCTGAGACAGATAGGCCCTCTGGTAGGGTGCAGCTAGCAGCCGCGGGAAGGGGGGTGCAGTTTCGCCTGAGACGCGCAGCCTCGGGGGTACGGGCCGAGCCTGCATAGAAGGTAGGGGTGCAGCTAACCGCCGCAGGATGCTGGGTAGTGGTTCCGCCTGATACGTGACGAAGCCAAGCAAGGGTGCAGCTCACAGCAGCAGAGCGGGGGGGAAAGATAACACCAGAGACAACCCGAGACCCGGCTGGAGTGCAGCTGACAGCCGCAGCGTGGTGGGGGATTGCTACGCGTTTGCTACGCATGAGACGCCCCAGTGCTCTGGTAGGGTGCAGCTAACAGCCGCAAGAATGTGGGGAAAGGTTATCTTCGCCTGAAACATACTGGTGCTCTGCATGGGAGCGGCAAACGGAAGAGAAGCCGAATGCCGCAGACGGCCACGAACTGGGTGGAGTGGCCAGAAGGAAAGTCGAGCCCAACCGCGGGGAGGGGAGGGGAGCCCCAGCCAGATTCACACCAGCGCAGCAGACAGCCGCAGCGGCGCGAAGCGAGCGGTGGACACAACAGCCGAAGGAGACGACAGACGAGGCGGGGTCCAGAGGGCAACCAACCAAAGGAGGGTGGAGAGGCGACCAAGGAGATAGAGGGGGCTGCCAGGTGCAGGAGAAGACCCAGCGAACCCAGAGGGTCCGCCGGGACAGGTAAGGGCACCAGGGCGAGGGGGGGGGCACAGCAGTGGGAGGCACCAGGAAACGGATGGCGACCCAGGCACGTCCAGTGGGCCAGCCGGCGAAGGTGAACCGGCCAGGATACGACCGAGTGCCCGACCCGCAAGGGGCTGGCGTTGGCCGAGGAGCTGGAGTTGGCCGTGGAATTGGCCGTGGGGCTGGCAGCCGGGCTGGCCGCGGGGCTGGCCGTGGGGCAGGCCGCGGGGCTGGCAGTCAGGTTGGCCACGAAACTGGCCGTCGGGTTGGCCGTCCGGCTGGCCGTGGGGCTGACCGGGCTGGCCGTGGGACTGGCCGTGGGGCAGGCAGCCGAGCGGGCCGTCGGGCTGGCCGCGGGGCTGGCCGCAGGGCAGGCCGCGGGGCCGGCCGTGGGGCTGGCAGTTCGGTATTGAGTGGTCCTGAATGCACTTGTCACTTGTGTAGCAAGGGTTGGGTACGTCGCAGGATAATTTGTCAACGGCCGCGGGCGGAAACGCCGGCGGCGCGTCAAGTCGAAGTGGGTTCGCGCCACAAACTAATTAACAGCATAACTGGGGCACAGAACTGCCAGAGTGCGCATGCAAGAGGCCGAGGCGGAAAAGGCAAGATAAACGCTGGAAGAAACCAACAGAGCGACGGGCAAGGCGACAACTAAGCGCGGCCGAGGCCTCAGGGGGGGGGGTGCCGGGGCTGAGCTGAGGGGAACTGCCGCGCGGTTGGTGGGGATGCGCGAAGCGCCTAGAATTTCGAGCAACACCCTTGCAGCCAGCCTGCAGGCTGCAACGGAATTCATCGAAACTCGCAGCGGGGGAAAGAAAAACCACGCGCCCGCTAGGAAATGCCCGCCTTGCGCGCCATTTCTACCCCACCCCCACCCCAAAAGAAAAAAAAAACTCGCAGCAAGCCTGAAACTCGCAGCAAGCCTGCAGGCAGCTGGAGTTTCTCGAAATTCGCCGCGAGGGGAGAGGAGGGCGCTCGCGCGCCCGCGGGGAAATGCCCCCCCTGCGGGCGGAGGCCATTTCGAGAAACACCCTCGCGGCCAGCCTGTAGGCTGCGAGTGAGTCGTTCGAAATTCGCTGCGAGGGGAGGTGGAGACGCGCGCGCCTGCCGGGGACACCCCGCCCCGCAAGCGGAAGCCATTTCGAAAAGCTCCCTCGCGGCCAGCCTGCAGGCCGCGATAACGGTGTTCTCGAAATTCGCCACAGTTGGGGCGGAGGCGCGCGCCCGCGGGGAAATGCCCGCCCAGCGGGCGGAAGCCATTTCGGGAAACACCCTCGCGGCCAGCCTATAGGCTGCGAGCGAGTCGTTCGACATTCGCTGCGAGGGGAGGTGGAGACGCGCGCGCCTGCAGGGGAATGCCCGCCCTGCAGGCGGAGGCCATTTCGAGGGGCCCCCTCGCGGCCAGCCTGCAGGCTGCGATAAGGGCGTTCTCGAACTTCGCCACAGCTGGGGCGGAGGCGCGCGCCCCCCGCGGGAGAATGCCCGCCCAGCGGGCGGAGGCCATTTCGAGAAACTCCCTCGCGGCCAGCCTGCAGGCTGCGATTGGAGCTCCTCGAAGTTCACCGCGGGGGGTGCTGGGGGGGGGGGGGGGGGGGGGCGCGCGCGCGGAAGACATGCCCGCCCCGCGGGCGGAGGCCATCTCGAGAAACTCCCTCGCGGCCAGCCTGCAAGCTGCGAGGGCGATTCTCGAAATTCGCTGGAGTTGAAATGGAAGCGCGCGCCCGCGGGGAAATGCCCGCCCTGCGAGCGGAAGCCATCTTGAGAAACCCCCTTGCTGCCAGCCTGTAGGCTGCGATAAGGGCGTCCTCGAAATTCGCCACAGTTGGGGCGGGGGCGCGCGCCCGCGGGGAAATGTCCGCCCTGCGGGCGGAAGTCATTTCGAGAAACTCCATCGCGGCCAGCCCGTAGGCTGCGAAGGCGCCCTTCGAAATTCGCCACAAGAGAGGCGCGCCTACGGGGAGAGACCCGCCCCGTAGGCGGACGCCATCTCGAGAAACCCCCATCGCGGCCAGCCTGCCGGCTGCAATGAGGGCGCTCTCGAAATCGCCGCGGGGGGGGGGGGGGGGGGGGCGCGCGCCCCAAAGGAAATGCCCCCCCCCCCCCCCCCCTGCGGGCGGAGGCCACTTCGAATAACATCCTCGCGGTCAGCCTGTAGGCTGCGAGTGAGTTTCTCGAAACTCGTCGCAGACGGGGGGGGGGGGGGCGCGCGCCGCTGGAGAAATGCCCGCCCTGCGGGCGGAGGCCATTTCGAGAAACCCCCTCGCGGCCAGCCTGTCAGCTGCGAGGGCGTTTCTCGAAATTCGTCGCGGGGGGGTGAAGGCGCGCGCCCGCCGAGAGATGCCCGCCCTGCGGGCGGAAGCCATGTCGAGAAACCTCCTCGCGGCCAGCCTGCAAGCTGCGACTGAATTTCTCGAAACTCGTCGCGGGGAAGTTCGAGGCGCGCGCCCGCGGGAAAATGCCCGCCCTGCGGGCGGAGACCATTACGAGAAACCCCTCGCGGCCAGCCCGCAGGCTGCGAGGGCGTTTCTCGAAATTCGCAGCGGGGAGGGGGTTCCTCCCCCGTCTCTGGAAGACCTTGGAGTTTCATGCAATTGCGCGTTTGTAACCCAAATTGAGAAACTCCCCTGCGGCCGAGTTGGTGGGGTGGCTGCAAAAGAATTTCTGGAAATTCCGCCTCAGTGGCAAGCTGCATTTCGAGAAACTCCATCGAGGCCACCCTGGTTCCGCGGCAGAGGAGTTCCTCAACATAAATTACAAGGTCAAGGTCAAGATCAAGCCCGCGCGCGGGAAGGCGAGCCCATGAAGGGCGCAGGCGGTGGCAGTCGGCGGCGCGATATACACGCGCGCGCCACGATCCATGGAAAACAATACGCGCGTCTAAATTAGGGAGGACTCATTTACATGGCGCGTTCAGTGAGAATGGCAGCAAACATTCTGCAAATCCGTGGCTCGTCTTCGAAAAACACCTGGATACCAATAACGACTTTGAGAGCCGATCACGTTGCCGAAAAAACCATGTACTTATCCACGTAAGAGTCGGCCGCCCTGCTCCACAACGACCGCGCGGAGACCAATTCAGAACTCTCACGATGTATCTCGTCCCCGGTAGCTGCTGAACAGATTGTGCAAACGACCAATACTGGTGAACGCATTGCTCTGCCCATGTGCGAATACCAGCACGCGCGATGAAGTTGAATGCGCGCTGATGCCAAACACGCAGTAGATCATGCCACGGTGCATCCCATTCAACGCCCCGAGGTGGCCCAACGATCTGTCGCACGAGGCGTCGACATTCGAGATCCATTGCTTGCATGTTTTCTACATATATCCGGCGATGTTCTGCTGCAAACACGCCACTGCCGTTACGACGGAGTTTAAGAATTTCAATCTCTGCATGATGGAGGCTCGCTTGTCGCACAGAATACGGCGATTCGCATAACATGTTTTGGATGCACCTTGCATGTGACAATTCAGATCCAGAGTGCGGGAGCCCGCCCCCCCTGTGGAGCATGCAACCCAACCATTTATGAACCGAGCCTCTGTGGATCACGTCTATTGTCAACCCTTCTGGCGTGCGGATCGAGGAAGCTTATGTCATAGTGGTCAATACCTTGGTCGGCTTGGCGTTAAGAAGAAGCCCGACCTTCGGCGGCTCCAACACGATCGTATCGAGCAAGAAGCACACCTCCATTTCCGATTAAGCGACAAGAAGCAAGTCATCTGCGAATCGCAAGTTCGCCAAACGCTCTCCGCCACTTCCAAGATCTATTCGCAGATGTCCACCTTTCTGCTTCCAGCGCGCCATTGCCCCCTCCATGAAGCACGAAGCACGAAGCACGCCCGCACATGAGCACCGTCTAGGGTGCTGCGGGTGTGGCGCCGCAGCGCCGGATCAGGTGTTGCCCACTCCATGGCGGACGTGAACAGCCTTGCACTCAGTACGCACCTTTGGCGAACGCCTGCGGAAATCGGGAATTCATCACTGTGCGCACAAACCCCCCAAGAGGGCCTAGGCCTCCCAAGAGATCCCAAGAAGCCTTCCAAAGAGGCATCTTGTACGCGACCCAGTTTGGTCCCCACAGTGACCCCAGAAACCCGCGAGAGGCCTCCTCTTCCACCTCCTCCCCCTCCTTCTCCACCTCCTCCTCCTCCTCCGCCTCCTTGTCCTCCTCCTCATCCTCCTCCTCCCCTTATCGAGTCCCCTCCCCTCCTTCTCGCCTGACATGGGCATACCAACATATAGCGACAATGATGCAATATGGGCCGGCGGAATGAGCGAAGCGATTGAATAAATCGAGTGCTGGCGTACGGCCACGCCTGAGACAAAGTACCCACACGGGGAGAAGGGTAAAGACACACACACACACACAAAGCACTGGGACTGTCCAGCCGAGAAGGGGATGGAGAGAGAGGAAGGGCGTGCCACTAGCCTCGACAGTCAAGGGTCTCCAAAATCGAAATCGATGCCGTCTGCCCCTTCAGAACCAGCTGCATCTGCCGCAGCGGCTGCCTCTGCGGCGCCGCTGGCCGCACTCCGCGAAGTCTGCGCAGTCCCTCTGCTCCCCCGGCGGCGCTGCACCGCAGCGACGCCTGCTGGCCATCGCTCGGACGTCCATTTCCAGTGTTTTTGTTTCTGGTTTCGTGCGTGGCTTCTCCGCCAAAGGATCCAGGAGGCTCCTCGATGGTCCCCGCCGGAAGAAAAAAATGCACACGTCCGAGCGGTGCCAAGCCTGTGGCGTCCGAGCTCCTCCGCCTGCCTCCCCTCGGCGGCGCTGGCGGGCGCGCGCTCCCCGAGCTCTGCGCGCTCCGCCTCCGCGTGCTGCCTTGCCGCAGCGGCGCCTCCGCCCCGCCCCGCGGCGAGGCCCGGCGGCCCGTGGCCGCCACGGCACGCGGGGGCCCGAGCGCGGCCTCCGCCGCGGCCCTGGCGGCCCCCACCTCTGAAGGGGCCCCAGGACACAAAAAATAAAGACACGCACATAAAAAGATGCCCCATATTTTCCCATATCTTCCGAGTTGTTGTTTTCCCCCCCACTTCCCACATTAAAAAATATATGTTTAGGAGAGTCGACGATGAATTCTGTCTGTGTGCTTCTTTCCCTCCTGATACCTCGGCGGCCCCGTCGGCGAGGCGCAGGCGAGGCGCGTGCTGGGAGCCGGCGCCCCCGCGCTCGCGGCAGGAGCGGCGGAGCTCCTCCCAGGTGATGTTGCGGTCGCCGTCGCTGTCGGCGGCTTGGAAGAACTCCATCACCGCCCGCCGGGCGGCACCCTCCTGGTGGATCTCCGACGGGAGGCCGAAGAGAGCGGCGACCTCTGGACGCTGGCGGCAGGCCTTGATGAGCTCCCGCAGGTTGATGCCGCCGTCGCAGTTGGCATCGCAGGCCCGAAACACCTCCCGCAGCGCCCCGAGGTCCTCCGTGTCGGCCGGTTGCCCGGCGCTGTAGGCACGCGCCTGCGACTGCTGAGCTCCTTCTGGCAGCGGCCACAGCGCTTGTTGTGGCTGCGACCCAGGCTCAGGCAGCTGGTCCGGCTGCTTCTCATCCACGAGCCCGTCGCCCATTGGCTGCTTGAGCGCTAGCACATCTTTGTCGTGCGGCGCTGTGGAACGTCTACTCGATCTGTCCCGTCGTCCTGGCGGTCGTGTAGCGCCTTCATCGCTCAGAACTGCTTCTGCAGGCGCCTGAGCTGGTGCTTGTGCTTCGGCACCTCCAGAGTAGTAGACGGTGAGCTCGTCGGCGACCCCTATGGTCACGTGCTCTTCCGGGCGTGGCCTGCACGCCTCAAAAGCGGCCTCGGCCGCAGCAATTCGCCTCTGACTGCGGGCAACAGCCTCCTCGAGCTTTCGCCTCTCCGCTGCCAGCGTCTCGTGCAGCCTCAGCAACGGGCTCGTCGGCAGGGTGTGGCTGACCCCGGCCGCCTCGCACAGCTGAGCGAGCTCCGGCAGCTTGTGCGACTGGATCGTCGCTCTCCTGCCTGCGTGGTCGATGATCTGCCCAAGCTTGGGGGACATGATCGATGAGCTGTCTGCCGCCAGGCTGACCGGCTCTGCGGCCATCCGCGTGGACACCGCCCACTCCAACGACCGGACATACGTCCAATTCCCGTCGTCGACAGACATGTACAACCTCCCGCCCTGGACCCTGAACCTCGTGGTGACCTCTTCGCCATCGTGGCAGATCAGCTGCGGCAGACTCTGGCGCTGCGTCCTGAGCCAGAGGCCGCCGCAAGCGAGGCCCCCGCAGACCAAGACGACCAACACCGAGGCCAGGAGAGCAACCAGCAGACTCGAGCCGGCGACGGTCGTCTGAGCAGGTGCGCCGAGGGGCACGCCCGGGGCAGGCGTGGGGGCCTGTGGAGCGGGCGCCTGGGGCTGCAGGCAGATGCACCGGTCGGTGGCACCACAGCTGCCGGTGTTTCCACCCGAGTTGAAATAGAGGACCTCTTGCTCCATATAGCACCCCGGTGGATCGTCAGGAACGCCATCGCCGTTCAAAACGGGGTCGGCCCTGGGGAGACCCAGCGTGATGGCAGCTGCAAGGCACTCGTCCGCGTTGGCAACCAAAGCGGAGCAGGTACCGGTCGTGACCACGATGTAGTCATCCCCTGTCGTCGAAACTATCTTTGTCCCTGTAAGAGACAGGGTCCCAAACATGACCGAACCTATATTTGAGATTGCGCTCACCCTGAGTTCAATAGCGGTATGCACAGCGCTCACACTCATTGCATCCGCAATATCAGCGGCGCTTGTGGCCGCACCACTGGGTGGTACGACTGTCAAGAGAACATCAACAGGAGCTACAATCAAAGATCGGCCAAATGTGTGTGGGTTAACATGATTGGATACCGCGAGCTCGCTGAGCAAACGGGTTGAGAAAGTCCCCTCGCTGAGCTCCACCGACACAAATTCTAACGAGACGCCTGCGATCTCAGCCAGCGCCTTGCGAAGAGCGAGCTTGAAGTCCGTCAGCAGACTGTCATCTTGAAACAGCTCGTCGTAGCTCACGCCCTGCACTGTCAGTAACAGCAGGACGGCCGCAAGCTTCACATCCTCGCCGCCACCGCAGCCGCAACACGCCTCCAAGGCAGTGTAGCCATGGCTCTCGAAATCTCTGCCATAGTCTGGACAACCGCTATCGAGGTAATGGCTGCAGTCGTGGCCGCTGGAGTCGAGCCAGGACACACCTTCTGCAGGCGCAAAGTCGAAGCACTCCTCGAAGTCGAGCGCTCCTCGAACTGTGGTCGTGGACGTGGCAGTAGAGGTCGTGGTGGCTGTGATTGAGGTGGCGGTGGTCGTGGTCGGCGTTGTCAGGCTCGTGGCACTCGCATCTGCCGCACTGGTGCGTGAGGTGGCGCTCGACTCCGTGGTGGTGGACGCCGTGGTGCTGCTCGTTGCCACCGTGCGCGTCTGGGACGTGGTGCTCGACTCCGAGGTGGTGGACCCCGTCGTGCTGGTCGTTTCCGTAGTGCTGGTCCGCGATGTCGCGCTCGACTGCGTGGTGGTGGTCACCGTAGCACTGTTCGTTTCCGTAGTTCTGGAATGAGAGCTGGACGCCGTGGTACTCGACCCTGTCGTGGTTGATGCCGTGGTCACCGTTGCGCTCGTCCATGTCACGCTCACGGTCGTCCTAGTGGCAGTAACGATGCGAATTTCTGGTGCTGCGACCTCTAACGATGATGCGTCCATGACCAAGCCTTGTACCTGGAAGTTCGACTGCAACGAGATTGTGAAGTTCGAGGGGTCGTTGACAATCTGGTTTGTCACATTTAGAACTTGCTCGACAGAAGTTACGGGTGTGACTATCTGAAAGTCGACTCGCCAGGACGAAGACACCGACCGCGCTTTGGGGACGACAGATACTGAAAGCTGATCTTCGTCTAAGCCATAAAAAGTCCGCAAATGAGAAGTCACTGCGTCTGTCACATCGTCTTCGGTGCCAGAGCTGTAAAATGACAGCGAACTGAGTACGACGTAAAGCGGCGTCGTGGTAGTAGTCTGGCTGGTAATACTGTCTGTCGTGGTGGTCCTCGTGGTCATGCTCGTTTCTGTCGTGCGGGTCCAGGAAGTGGTGCTCGACTCCGTCGTTGTGGACCGCGTGGCGCTGCTCGTTCCTGTGGTGCTGGTCCACGACGTGGTGCTCGACTCCGTAGTGGATGACTCTGTGGTAGTGCTGGACGCCGTAGCGCTGCTCGTTTCGGAGGTACTGCTTCCAGACGTGGTGCTCGACCACGTAGTGCTGGACCCCGTGGTAATGCTCGTTTCCGTAGCGCTGGTCCGCGATGTCGTGCTCGACTGCGTGGTGGTGGACACCGTGATGCTGCTCGTCCCTGTAGTGCTAGTCCGCGAAGAAGTGCTCGACACAGATGTGGTGGACACAGTGGTACTGCTCGTTCCCGTAGTGCTGGTCCGAGAACTGGAACTCGACGCTGTAGTGGTGGATCCCGTGGTACTGCTGGTCTCAGTAGTGCTGGTCTGCGATGTGGTGCTGGACTGCGTAGTGGACGACTCTGTGGTAGTGCTGGACGCCGTAGTGCTACTCGTTTCGGAGGTACTGCTTCCAGACGTTGTGCTCGACCCCGTAGTGAGGGACCACGTGGTGCTGCTCGTTTCCGTAGTGCTGGTCCGCGACGTCGTGCTCGACTGCGTGGTGGTGGACACAATGGTACTGCTCGTCCCTGTAGTGCTAGTCCGCGAAGAAGTGCTCGACACCGATGTGGTGGACACAGTGGTGCTGCTCGTTCCCGTAGTGCTGGTCCGAGAACTGGAACTCGACGCTGTAGTGGTGGATCCCGTGGCACTGCTGGTCTCAGTAGTGCTGGTGCGCGATGTGGTGCTCGACTCCGTAATGGATGACTCTGTGGTAGTGCTGGACGCCGTAGTGCTGCTTGTTTCGGAAGTGCTGCTTCCGGACGTGGTGCTCGACCCTGTAGTGCTGGACCCCGTGGTGATGCTCGTTTCCGTAGTGCTGGTCCGCGACGTCGTGCTCGACTGCGTGGTGGTGGACACCGTGGTACTGCTCGTCCCTGTAGTGCTAGTCCGCGAAGAAGTGCTCGACACAGATGTGGTGGACACAGTGGTACTGCTCGTTCCCGTAGTGCTGGTCCGAGAACTGGAACTCGACGCTGTAGTGGTGGATCCCGTGGTACTGCTGGTCTCAGTAGTGCTGCTCCGCGATGTGGTGCTCGACTCTGTAGTGGATGATTCTGTGGTAATGCTGGACGCCGTAGTGCTGCTCGTTTCGGAGGTACTGCTTCCAGACGTGGTGCTCGACCCCGTAGTGGTGGACCCTGTGGTGCTGCTCGTTTCCGTAGTGCTGGTCCGCGATGTCGTGCTCGACTGCGTGGTGGTGGACACCGTGGTACTGCTCGTCCCAGTAGTGCTAGTCCACGACATGGAGCTCGACACCGATGTGGTGGACACAGTGGTACTGCTCGCTCCCGTAGTGCTGGTCCGAGAACTGGAACTCGACGCTGTAGTGGTGGATCCCGTGGTACTGCTGGTCTCAGTAGTGCTGGTCTGCGATGTGGTGCTGGACTGCGTAGTGGACGATTCTGTGGTAGTGCTGGACGCCGTAGTGCTGCTCGTTTCGGAGGTACTGCTTGCAGACGTTGTGCTCGACCCCGTAGTGCTGGACCCCGTGGTGCTGCTCGTTTCGGACGTGCTGCTTCCAGACGTGGTGCTTGACCCCGTAGTGGTGGACCCTGTGGTGCTGCTCGTTTCCGTAGCGCTGGTCCGCGAGGTCGTGCTCGACTGCGTGGTGGTGGACACCGTGGTACTGCTCGTCCCTGTAGTGCTAGTCCGCGAAGAAGTGCTCGACACAGATGTGGTGGACACAGTGGTACTGCTCGTTCCCGTAGTGCTGGTCCGAGAACTGGAACTCGACGCTGTAGTGGTGGATCCTGTGGTACTGCTGGTCTCAGTAGTGCTGGTGCGCGATGTGGTGCTCGACTCCGTAGTGGACGACTCTGTGGTAGTGCTGGACGCCGTAGTGCTGCTCGTTTCGGAAGTGCTGCTTCCAGACGTGGTGCTCGACCCCGTTGTGGTGGACCCTGTGGAGCTGCTCGTTTCCGTAGTGCTGGTCCGCGACGTCGTGCTCGACTGCGTGGTGGTAGACACCGTGGTACTGCTCGTCCCTGTAGTGCTAATCCGCGAAGAAGTGCTCGACACAGATGTGGTGGACACAGTGGTACTGCTCGTTCCCGTAGTGCTGGTCCGAGAACTGGAACTCGATTCTGTAGTGGTGGATCCCGTGGTACTGCTGGTCTCAGTAGTGCTGGTGCGCGATGTGGTGCTCGACTCCGTAATGGATGACTCTGTGGTAGTGCTGGACGCCGTAGTGCTGCTTGTTTCGGAAGTGCTGCTTCCGGACGTGGTGCTCGACCCCGTTGTGGTGGACCCCGTGGTGCTGCTCGTTTCCGAAGTGCTGGTCCGCGACGTCGTGCTTGACTGCGTGGTGGTGGACACCGTGGTACTGCTCGTCCCTGTAGTGCTAGTCCGCGAAGTTGTGCTCGACACAGATGTGGTGGACACAGTGGTACTGCTCGTTCCCGTAGTGCTGGTCCGGGAACTGGAACTCGACGCTGTAGTGGTGGATCCCGTGGCACTGCTGGTCTCAGTAGTGCTGGTCCGCGATGTGGAGCTCGACTCCGTAGTGGATGACTCTGTGGTAGTGCTGGACGCCGTAGTGCTGCTCGTTTCGGACGTACTGCTTCCAGACGTGGTGCTCGACCCCGTAGTGGTGGACCCCGTGGTGCTGCTCGTTTCCGTAGTGCTGGTCCGCGACGTCGTGCTCGACCGCGTGGTGGTGGAAACCGTGGTACTGCTCGTCCCAGTTGTGCTAGTCCGCGAAGAAGTGCTCGACACAGATGTGGTGGACACAGTGGTACTGCTCGTTCCCGTAGTGCTGGTCCGAGAACTGGAACTCGATTCTGTAGTGGTGGATCCCGTGGTACTGCTGGTCTCAGTAGTGCTGGTGCGCGATGTGGTGCTCGACTCCGTAGTGGATGACTCTGTGGTAGTGCTGGACGCCGTAGTGCTGCTCGTTCTGGAAGTGCTGCTTCCAGACGTGGTGCTCGACCCCGTTGTGGTGGACTCCGTGGTGCTGCTCGTTTCCGTAGTGCTGGTCCGCGATGTCGTGCTCGACTGCGTGGTGGTGGACACTGTGGTACTGCTCGTCCCTGTAGTGCTAGTCCACGACTTGGAGCTCGACACTGACGTGGTGGACACAGTGGTACTGCTCGTTCCCGTAGTGCTGGTCCGAGAACTGGAACTCGATTCTGTAGTGGTGGATCCCGTGGCACTGCTGGTCTCAGTAGTGCTGGTGCGCGATGTGGTGCTCGACTCCGTAATGGATGACTCTGTGGTAGTGCTGGACGCCGTAGTGCTGCTCGTTTCGGAAGTGCTGCTTCCGGACGTGGTGCTCGACCCCGTAGTGGTGGACCCCGTGGTGCTGCTCGTTTCCGTAGTGCTGGTCCGCGACGTCGTGCTCGACTGCGTGGTGGTGGACACGGTGGTACTGCTCGTCCCTGTAGTGCTAGTCCGCGACGTGGAGCTCGACACAGATGTGGTGGACACAGTGGTACTGCTCGTTCCCGTAGTGCTGGTCCGGGAACTGGAACTCGACGCTGTAGTGGTGGATCCCGTGGCACTGCTGGTCTCAGTAGTGCTGGTGCGCGATGTGGTGCTCGACTCCGTAATGGATGACTCTGTGGTTGTGCTGGACGCCGTGGTGCTGCTTGTTTCGGAAGTGCTGCTTCCGGACGTGGTGCTCGACCCCGTTGTGGTGGACCCCGTGGTGCTGCTCGTTTCCGTAGTGCTGGACCGCGATGTCGTGCTCGACTGCGTGGTGGTGGACACACTGATACTGCTCGACCCAGTAGTGCTAGTCCGCGAAGTTGTGCTCGACACTGACGTGGTGGACACAGTGGTACTGCTCGTTCCCGTAGTGCTGGTCCGAGAACTGGAACTCGATTCTGTAGTGGTGGATCCCGTGGCACTGCTGGTCTCAGTAATGCTGGTGCGCGATGTGGAGCTCGACTCCGTAATGGATGACTCTGTGGTGGTGCTGGACGCCGTAGTGCTGCTCGTTTCGGAAGTGCTGCTTCCGGACGTGGTGCTCGACCCCGTTGTGGTGGACCCCGTGGTGCTGCTCGTTTCCGAAGTGCTGGTCCGCGACGTCGTGCTCGACTGCGTGGTGGTGGACACTGTGGTACTGCTCGTCCCTGTAGTGCTAGTCCGCGAAGTTGTGCTCGACACAGATGTGGTGGACACAGTGGTACTGCTCGTTCCCGTAGTGCTGGTCCAGGAACTGGAACTCGACGCTGTAGTGGTGGATCCCGTGGCACTGCTGGTCTCAGTAGTGCTGGTCCGCGATGTGGAGCTCGACTCCGTAGTGGATGACTCTGTGGTAGTGCTGGACGCCGTAGTGCTGCTCGTTTCGGACGTACTGCTTCCAGACGTGGTGCTCGACCCCGTTGTGGTGGACCCCGTGGTGCTGCTCGTTTCCGTAGTGCTGGTCCGCGACGTCGTGCTCGACTGCGTGGTGGTGGAAACCGTGGTACTGCTCGTCCCAGATGTGCTAGTCCGCGAAGAAGTGCTCGACACAGATGTGGTGGACACAGTGGTACTGCTCGTTCCCGTAGTGCTGGTCCGAGAACTGGAACTCGATTCTGTAGTGGTGGATCCGGTGGCACTGCTGGTCTTAGTAGTGCTGGTGCGCGATGTGGTGCTCGACTCCGTAGTGGATGACTCTGTGGTAGTGCTGGACGACGTAGTGCTGCTCGTTCTGGAAGTGCTGCTTCCAGACGTGGTGCTCGACCCCGTTGTGGTGGACTCCGTGGTGCTGCTCGTTTCCGTAGTGCTGGTCCGCGACGTCGTGCTCGACTGCGTGGTGGTGGACACTGTGGTACTGCTCGTCCCTGTAGTGCTAGTCCACGACGTGGAGCTCGACACTGACGTGGTGGACACAGTGGTACTGCTCGTTCCCGTAGTGCTGGTCCGAGAACTGGAACTCGATTCTGTAGTGGTGGATCCCGTGGCACTGCTGGTCTTAGTAGTGCTGGTGCGCGATGTGGAGCTCGACTCCGTAATGGATGACTCTGTGGTAGTGCTGGACGCCGTAGTGCTGCTCGTTTCGGAAGTGCTGCTTCCGGACGTGGTGCTCGACCCCGTAGTGGTGGACCCCGTGGTGCTGCTCGTTTCCGTAGTGCTGGTCCGCGACGTCGTGCTCGACTGCGTGGTGGTGGACACGGTGGTACTGCTCGTCCCTGTAGTGCTAGTCCGCGACGTGGAGCTCGACACAGATGTGGTGGACACAGTGGTACCGCTCGTTCCCGTAGTGCTGGTCCGAGAACTGGAACTCGACGCTGTAGTGGTGGATCCCGTGGTACTGCTGGTCTCAGTAGTGCTGGTGCGCGATGTGGTGCTCGACTCCGTAATGGATGACTCTGTGGTGGTGCTGGACGCCGTAGTGCTGCTTGTTTCGGAAGTGCTGCTTCCGGACGTGGTGCTCGACCCCGTTGTGGTGGACCCCGTGGTGCTGCTCGTTTCCGTAGTGCTGGACCGCGATGTCGTGCTCGACTGCGTGGTGGTGGACACAGTGGTACCGCTCGTTCCCGTAGTGCTAGTCCGGGAAGTTGTGCTCGACACTGACGTGGTGGACACAGTGGTACTGCTCGTTCCTGTAGTGCTGGTCCGGGAACTGGAACTCGATTCTGTAGTGGTGGATCTCGTGGTACTGCTGGTCTCAGTAGTGCTGGTCCGCGATGTGGTGCTCGAATCCGTAATGGACGACTCTGTGGTAGTGCTGGACGCCGTAGTGCTGCTCGTTTCGGAGGTACTGCTTCCGGAGGTGGTGCTCGATCCCGTTGTGGTGGACCCCGTGGTGCTGCTCGTTTCTGTAGTGCTGGTCCGCGACGTCGTGCTCGACTGCGTGGTGGTGGACACTGTGGTACTGCTCGTCCCTGTAGTGCTAGTCCACGACGTGGAGCTCGACACTGACGTGGTGGACACAGTGGTACTGCTCGTTCCCGTAGTGCTGGTCCGAGAACTGGAACTCGATTCTGTAGTTGTGGATCCTGTGGTACTGCTGGTCTCAGTAGTGCTGGTGCGCGATGTGGTGCTCGACTCCGTAATGGATGACTCTGTGGTGGTGCTGGACGCCGTAGTGCTGCTCGTTTCGGACGTGCTGCTTCCGGACGTGGTGCTCGACTCCGTAGTGGTGGACCCCGTGGTGCTGCTCGTTTCCGTAGTGCTGGTCCGCGATGTCGTGCTCGACTGCGTGGTGGTGGACACACTGATACTGCTCGACCCTGTAGTGCTAGTCCGCGAAGAAGTGCTCGACACTGACGTGGTGGACACAGTGGTACTGCTCGTTCCCGTAGTGCTGGTCCGGGAACTGGAACTCGATTCTGTAGTGGTGGATCTCGTGGTACTGCTGGTCACCGTATAGCTGGTCCGCGATGTGGAGCTCGAATCCGTAGTGGATGACTCTGTGGTAGTGCTGGACGCCGTAGTGCTGCTCGTTTCGGAAGTGCTGCTTCCGGACGTGGTGCTCGACCCCGTTGTGGTGGACCCCGTGGTGCTGCTCGTTTCCGTAGTGCTGGTCCGCGACGTCGTGCTCGACTGCGTGGTGGTGGACACGGTGGTACTGCTCGTCCCTGTAGTGCTAGTCCACGACGTGGTGCTCGACACAGATGTGGTGGACACAGTGGTACTGCTCGTTCGCGTAGTGCTGGTCCGGGAACTGGTGCTCGACGCTGTAGTGGTGGATCCCGTGGCACTGCTGGTCTCAGTAGTGCTGGTGCGCGATGTGGTGCTCGACTCCGTAGTGAATGATTCTGTGGTAGTGCTGGACGCCGTAGTGCTGCTCGTTTCGGACGTGCTGCTTCCAGACGTGGTGCTCGACCCCGTTGTGGTGGACCCTGTGGTGCTGCTCGTTTCCGTAGTGCTGGTCCGCGACGTCGTGCTCGACTGCGTGGTGGTGGACACCGTGGTACTGCTCGTCCCTGTAGTGCTAGTCCACGACGTGGTGCTCGACAACGATGTGGTGGACACAGTGGTACTGCTCGTTCCCGTAGTGCTGGTCCGAGAACTGGAACTCGATTCTGTAGTGGTGGATCCCGTGGTACTGCTGGTCTCAGTAGTGCTAGTACGCGATGTGGAGCTCGACTCCGTAGTGGATGACTCTGTGGTAGTGCTGGACGCCGTAGTGCTGCTCGTTTCGGACGTACTGCTTCCAGACGTGGTGCTCGACCCCGTAGTGGTGGACCCCGTGGTGCTGCTCGTTTCCGTAGTGCTGGTCCGCGACGTCGTGCTCGACTGCGTGGTGGTGGAAACCGTGGTACTGCTCGTCCCAGTTGTGCTAGTCCGCGAAGAAGTGCTCGACACAGATGTGGTGGACACAGTGGTACTGCTCGTTCCCGTAGTGCTGGTCCGAGAACTGGAACTCGATTCTGTAGTGGTGGATCCGGTGGCACTGCTGGTCTCAGTAGTGCTGGTGCGCGATGTGGTGCTCGACTCCGTAGTGGATGACTCTGTGGTAGTGCTGGACGACGTAGTGCTGCTCGTTCTGGAAGTGCTGCTTCCAGACGTGGTGCTCGACCCCGTTGTGGTGGACTCCGTGGTGCTGCTCGTTTCCGTAGTGCTGGTCCGCGACGTCGTGCTCGACTGCGTGGTGGTGGACACTGTGGTACTGCTCGTCCCTGTAGTGCTAGTCCACGACGTGGAGCTCGACACTGACGTGGTGGACACAGTGGTACTGCTCGTTCCCGTAGTGCTGGTCCGAGAACTGGAACTCGATTCTGTAGTGGTGGATCCCGTGGCACTGCTGGTCTCAGTAGTGCTGGTGCGCGATGTGGAGCTCGACTCCGTAATGGATGACTCTGTGGTAGTGCTGGACGCCGTAGTGCTGCTCGTTTCGGAAGTGCTGCTTCCGGACGTGGTGCTCGACCCCGTAGTGGTGGACCCCGTGGTGCTGCTCGTTTCCGTAGTGCTGGTCCGCGACGTCGTGCTCGACTGCGTGGTGGTGGACACGGTGGTACTGCTCGTCCCTGTAGTGCTAGTCCGCGACGTGGAGCTCGACACAGATGTGGTGGACACAGTGGTACCGCTCGTTCCCGTAGTGCTGGTCCGAGAACTGGAACTCGACGCTGTAGTGGTGGATCCCGTGGTACTGCTGGTCTCAGTAGTGCTGGTGCGCGATGTGGTGCTCGACTCCGTAATGGATGACTCTGTGGTAGTGCTGGACGACGTAGTGCTGCTCGTTCTGGAAGTGCTGCTTCCAGACGTGGTGCTCGACCCCGTTGTGGTGGACCCCGTGGTGCTGCTCGTTTCCGTAGTGCTGGACCGCGATGTCGTGCTCGACTGCGTGGTGGTGGACACACTGATACTGCTCGACCCTGTAGTGCTAGTCCGCGAGGTTGTGCTCGACACTGACTTGGTGGACACAGTGGTACTGCTCGTTCCTGTAGTGCTGGTCCGGGAACTGGAACTCGATTCTGTAGTGGTGGATCTCGTGGTACTGCTGGTCTCAGTAGTGCTGGTCCGCGATGTGGTGCTCGAATCCGTAATGGACGACTCTGTGGTAGTGCTGGACGCCGTAGTGCTGCTCGTTTCGGAGGTACTGCTTCCGGAGGTGGTGCTCGATCCCGTTGTGGTGGACCCCGTGGTGCTGCTCGTTTCTGTAGTGCTGGTCCGCGACGTCGTGCTCGACTGCGTGGTGGTGGACACTGTGGTACTGCTCGTCCCTGTAGTGCTAGTCCACGACGTGGAGCTCGACACTGACGTGGTGGACACAGTGGTACTGCTCGTTCCCGTAGTGCTGGTCCGAGAACTGGAACTCGATTCTGTAGTGGTGGATCCTGTGGTACTGCTGGTCTCAGTAGTGCTGGTGCGCGATGTGGTGCTCGACTCCGTAATGGATGACTCTGTGATGGTGCTGGACGCCGTAGTGCTGCTCGTTTCGGACGTGCTGCTTCCAGACGTGGTGCTCGACTCCGTAATGGTGGACCCCGTGGTGCTGCTCGTTTCCGTAGTGCTGGTCCGCGATGTCGTGCTCGACTGCGTGGTGGTGGACACACTGATACTGCTCGACCCTGTAGTGCTAGTCCGCGAAGAAGTGCTCGACACTGACGTGGTGGACACAGTGGTACTGCTCGTTCCCGTAGTGCTGGTCCGGGAACTGGAACTCGATTCTGTAGTGGTGGATCTCGTGGTACTGCTGGTCACCGTATAGCTGGTCCGCGATGTGGAGCTCGAATCCGTAATGGATGACTCTGTGGTAGTGCTGGACGCCGTAGTGCTGCTCGTTTCGGAAGTGCTGCTTCCGGACGTGGTGCTCGACCCCGTTGTGGTGGACCCCGTGGTGCTGCTCGTTTCCGTAGTGCTGGTCCGCGACGTCGTGCTCGACTGCGTGGTGGTGGACACGGTGGTACTGCTCGTCCCTGTAGTGCTAGTCCACGACGTGGTGCTCGACACAGATGTGGTGGACACAGTGGTACTGCTCGTTCGCGTAGTGCTGGTCCGGGAACTGGTGCTCGACGCTGTAGTGGTGGATCCCGTGGCACTGCTGGTCTCAGTAGTGCTGGTCTGCGATGTGGTGCTCGACTCCGTAGTGAATGATTCTGTGGTAGTGCTGGACGCCGTAGTGCTGCTCGTTTCGGACGTGCTGCTTCCAGACGTGGTGCTCGACCCCGTTGTGGTGGACCCTGTGGTGCTGCTCGTTTCCGTAGTGCTGGTCCGCGACGTCGTGCTCGACTGCGTGGTGGCGGACACCGTGGTACTGCTCGTCCCTGTAGTGCTAGTCCACGACGTGGTGCTCGACAACGATGTGGTGGACACAGTGGTACTGCTCGTTCCCGTAGTGCTGGTCCGAGAACTGGAACTCGATTCTGTAGTGGTGGATCCCGTGGTACTGCTGGTCTCAGTAGTGCTAGTACGCGATGTGGAGCTCGACTCCGTAGTGGATGACTCTGTAGTGGTGCTGGACGCCGTAGTGCTGCTCGTTTCGGAGGTACTGCTTCCGGACGTGGTGCTCGACTCCGTAGTGGTGGACCCCGTGGTGCTGCTCGTTTCCGAAGTGCTGGTCCGCGATGTCGTGCTCGACTGCGTGGTGGTGGACACCCTGATACTGCTCGACCCTGTAGTGCTAGTCCGCGAAGTGATGCTCGACACAGATGTGCTCGACACTGATACTGCTAGTCCCGTGGTGCTGCTCGTTTGCGTAGTGCTGCTCCAGGAGGTAATACTTGACTTCGTCATTGTGGACATCGTGATGCTACTCGACTTCGTAGTGCTGGTCCGCGACCTGGTGGTCGACTTCGTGGTGGTGGATCCCGTTGTACTGCTCGTTCCCGTAGTGCTGGTCCGAAAACTGGTGCTCGTCCCCGTAGTGCTGGACCCCGTGGCACTGCTTGTTGCAGTAGGGCTGGTCCGCGACGTGGTGC